TCAGAGGGAGAAGCCCAAAGTGGCAAAGATCCCTTTTGGGCTTCTTGACAGCTATCTGTGCCTGAAACAATAAGCATCTCTACAAGTAGAGATTGTGAACAAAGAATAGCTGGAACTCTTAAGTGTAAAAAAAATAATGGGATGATATTTATACATTTCACATGAGTAAGAGTAAATTATGGCTTTCATTCTGGTGTTTCTGCCCGTAATTAATTATATTCTTAGGAATCTACCCTACATTATTGTTGTTAACCTTTTGGATATTTGAATGTTCTGTGGGAAAAACTTTCTTACATCTTGCATCACTGATAGTAATATGCCCAATTCATTTCTTGTTTTGCCTGTGACTTCAGCTAGGGCTGTCAATGTAGTTAGTGGCAAATCACTAACATTAATGGAAAATGGTCCATTATGGAATTATTAAAGCAGACAAGCACATTATCACTACAACAAGACAATTGTACTGCAGTACCTTCCTCTCGCCACAGTATGTTTGCAACTGCAGCATCAGAGAAATGGGAGAGCCAGAAAATGTTCAAGAAAAGGAAACAAAACACAATGTCAAAATTACACTGCAGCAGTTAAATGTATTCAATAACACTCTTTTGCTCTTGTTTCTAAAAGAAAAGTAATTTCTGTGATAGTTTCACATCATTCATCTAGACAAATTATATTACCGGAACAAAAGCCTGGAAAAAAACAGATCCTACTAATGTCAATTTTCTCTGTTGGGATTTTCCCCATCAAAGATTTTCAATAAACAGGAAATTCTTATTAAACTAAACAGTTCTGAATTTTGCTTTAGTAAAGATTGCAAAATGTGTCTTTTTATAGCAGATGATGTTCTGTTCTCCAGGATAACAACCTTTTATCTTGTACAATCACACAAAAGTTGTAACCACATGAAAGCTTGCCGTATGTGTAATGAATCAGCTGACAGATAATTATTAAGAGTACAATGGCTTTCTTCTTATTAGTGCTTATTAATGAACACTTTGATGTCCTTTTTAATGTTTTTTTTAAAGACCTTCCCTGGGCAATACATCAATACCATAAAAACAGCTAAGTTATGCAGTCTACTGTCATCCATTATCTTCACTAACATTTTGATTCTGTAATTTCAGAACAAAAGTTTAAACAGGTCCATTCTTACCATGTGCAGGGGTAACTTTGAACTAAATTCAGTTCGCTAGTCCCAACTAAACAGAGACCCATAGAATCAGCAAGCAAGTATTTACAAGTGCTATTTATTCAATGGATTGTATGTAGTTGGCATTAAGAATTGGATTTAAGCTACTGTGTTTGCTATGGAATGCATGTAAATTAGATAGCCACAAAAAATCTCAGGTTCCTGCTGACTGATGGCTTGTGCACTAGAATTTATGTACCCTAGGGCTTTGGCCTTGAGACTTGAGGTGTGAGGTCCATTCTCAAATTCTTAAGGAATGAGATGCTGCCAATTTGGAACCCTAACTCTGAGGCAGGTGCCTATCAGATGCGTGCATTACACGTTTACATGTATCTGTTCAAATATTTTATTGGTAACCTTTACAGAGAATAAATGTAAAGTAGCTTTCGGAGAATATGATTTGTCAGTGATTTTCATAATGTATGTAAGGGACTGTAAAATTAATCTTACATAGTCTTTTTAAAATATACATAATTTAAGAGGTTGTTGTTGAACCACTGCTGGTTCTAAGCACCAGAGAATCATGCTTACACTGGGATTTTAGATATTGTCAAAAGCAGTGGGGGCTGGTCCCTCAGTGCAAATGCAGCACAGTCCCACCTCAAGCTCAGGCTTCTTCCCACCCTTCTATCAGGAGCAACCCGTACCCCAAGCACAGATTATGTTTTGGAGTCCACCTTAAGGGAGCTACAGTGGACCCTTGACTGGAGATTTGGATTTGCCAGTGATTTTCATAATGTGTGTAAGGGATTGTAAGATTAATCTTATATAGTCTTTTTAAAATACACATAATTTAAGAGGTTTAAGCACAGTCCGACCTCACACTCAGGCTTCTTCCCACCCTTCCATCAGGAGCAGCCCGTACCCCAAGCACAGATTATGTTTTG